ACCAGATCAATACAAGGCGAAGAATCCATACTCGACCGCTCGCAAACTCTGTCTAGTCTCCCGATATGTCAGGAGGCACGTTGCACTGCCCGAAATGCTGCACACAGTGTTACTGGACTCTCGCAACAAGAAGGCTTTCGTGCATGCTCTACGCATGCAGAAGGAATACGCTCAGACAGATTCTCATCTCTGTTTTGCGTACACAAGTTACATACACAACATTTGGATCGGAGAATTTTGTCCGAGTCCCGAATACTCTTTTGCGCACCGCTCCGATGGCATGTTTGTGCGTCATTCAGACCTTGGCCTCTTGGCTCCGGTACTCCTCGGCGCACCATCGCTTGCGATCGACTTTGCAAGCATGTATTTCTTGACACGCTGCGTGGAATATGTATGGACCGACATGGGCGAGGACACCGACCACGAATGTTCGCCACCTCCGTGGCGCACGAAAACTCTAACGCTATTGGGGAATGTCACTAGGCCATGCCCCATGACGATGTTTACCTCAGGATCAGCCTTCCTGGCTTCCCTCGCCCACCTTATTGTGCTCCCTAACTCAGTTGGAGACGTAAGTTTGCATGTCGCTGGTCGGGCTACTGGTGCGGTTGGACCTCGAGACTACAATCTCCCTCAGTGGATGGCGCACGCTCCATGGGCTTTATTGAAGAGGCTTGAAACCGTCTCTTTGGCTTTCCCGTGTGTGGAACTCCCACTCGATACAGCTGAATTCAGTGCAGGAATGAACTTGCAGACGGAATTGGTGACGTTCCCCGCTTCCCTGGTGAAGGGCTACCGCGTGCCCCTGGAGATAAAAGCATCTACGGAGACCGGAGAGGGGTGTATTTTCTTGGACGACGTTCGTGTTGTGGTATCCGATACTCGGGTGCACTTTTGTATATATTGTCAAGAGTGGGAGAAAGTTTGGGCGTGCGGATGGCCCGGGTAGGCTGGAGGTGAAGGGATGTTACGATACGATTGATATCGGGTCTATGTGCATGTTCGCAGCATATGGCTTCGTGTATTGAACATGTATATATATATGTCTAATCAATGGGCTTGGTCGGGACTTTGTTTATGAGAGTTCATGAACGATAAAATAAGTAACTCGACTTTCTATTACAAATAGGCCTAGGCCTTGACATGTGACACGTGAGAATACGCCCGATGGAATCGTCCGCTTAGGGAGCACTGGATCCAAGACATTTGACATCGCCGAGGGCCGCAAAGGTCCATCTTGATACAAAATAAATCATGGTTATGGTTCGCGCGAGCACTCGCCATTCAGAAGATTAATATTGAGGATGAACGTTGAACTCGCTCGAGCGCTTTAGCACTTTCCCTGCTAATATCTGTCGTCAGTTCATCTACGAGGAACAAAACTGTCTACTAGCATCCCATGATAATTATACATCATGACGGGTGTATATTGCACAGCGGGTGCTTTTAACTTCATCTACTCTCTTAGGTTCAATCAAACATACCTCTTGATTCCAGCTCAGCCACGCCATTCCTATGCAAGAGTTCCACAACCCAGACTTCTTGCGGGCTAAAATGCAGTGCTTTATGGTCCACATGCCAAGGCCTTGACACTCATGGCCGCGCGGAGCCTCACCATGGGATGCTACTAATGTAGGGCTATACTTGCATCTGACAGAAGACGCGAATTTCATAGTTAGTTTACATGTCAGTCAACTATGTATATGAGACAGGTTAATACATACGACGAATGATAGTAAGATATTCCCGAGACCAATTTAGAAGCAGCCACACAGCCGGCCGCTACCATGCTGTCCAGTGGTAACCTGCACTCCTGTGGAAGGTTGTTGCGAATTTTGATGAGGAGTAGAAGGAATATAGTCTTCATCACGAATCAGGTCCTCGTCAAATGTAGGAGCATCCGCTGCAGCATAGCGCTGCAAATAGATCAATGAGACCTGAACTATAGCGAGAAATATAAATCGAGCATACCAGTCTACCCGGAGCAAGAAAAACATCGACAATAGGCGGTAGTGCACGACCTACAACGAGCGGGCCACCAGGTTGATATGTGATGAAGTCGAGTTTTGAAGGTAGTGGGAGCGGTGGCAGAGGATTGAGTGCCGAGCGGTGTGGATTGAGCCTGAAAGAATGTAAGTCTAGAACAAAATCATGACGGACTACACTCACGTTCTCGTGGGGATCTATATCTGAATGGACCTGATTCGTGGCTCGTATAGAGGGAGAGATCTTGTGAGGTAGGGGTAAAGTAGCAGGGAACTGTAAAGGGGCTGTCAAGTCGACTGAATGCACCAGGAAGAGGAAACATACATTCGAAGGATCACGAAGCTGATCAGTTCAAACAGGAGACATGCGAAAAAGGAAGCATTTTGCGAAGGTAATAAAGGAAGGCACGTTCCTGTGGATATATGGTGGAGAAATCTCTTTGTGGGTGGGGACGATGAGCGGCTGTATTGGGTTACGGCGCACGGAACGATGTGTTGCGTTGGACTATAAGGAATTAATGGAATACTGGTGTATACGAGCAGGGGTCACATACATCGAGGAGTCGTGGATTTGTAGCTGCATTCATCTGTAACAGAATGTTAGCCGACAAACAGGTACTAAGTGCGCATGGATGCATACATTAGGCTGCGCTTCTTGTGCAGACTGGATAGTGGCAAGGATGTGGGGTGGAGTGTCGCATATGTAGATCTTGGTGTCACTCCAGGTAGTGTATGCCAGTTGGTGTGAGTTGGGTGAGAAGATGAGGTGGTCAGGAGTACGAACGTCGAATGAGGCGAGGAGCTGGCGCGACTCGAAGGCCCAGAGCTTGATGGTCTGATCACGGGAAGCGCTAGCGAGGAGTGCACCATCGAATGAAAGTGCTAGACCACATATGATATTGGTGTGCCCTTCAAAGGGAGCTCTGACAGTCTGCAATGTCGACGCATCGAACTCATAGATCGTCTTGGGCGCGTCAATGTCATCATAGTCCGGGTGCCACTGCTCCTTGGTCCGCACGAATATGTAATCATCATCCTTGAAGTTAAATGCGGCCAAGATGGTCTGGTCTTTGGCTGTCCAAATCACTGGGGCACGTGTCACTATTCCGCGAGCGTATTTCCACTGTAGCCTGATATCCAATCTATGAGTTTCAACATGACACCTCGCTACATTTGATATGACTGCGAGCTTCTTCGAGTCTTGCGAGAATCGAACTGCGCCCACGCTGCTATAGCTAGCTGGGATTTCGAATAGTAGTTTGCCAGTCTTTAGGTTCCATACCCGTATTGTGCCGCCGTATCTTACTCCACTCGCCAGCAGGGTGCTATCCGCGGAGATATCGATGCAGGTGATACTCTGTGAGTGGCCTTCAAATGTTCAAATGATCCCCGTCTTAACTTCCCAGACTTTGAGTTCCCCACACTCATTGTCATCTCCACCAGCAGTGACGATCCATCGACCATCCCTTGATACACCTACTGCATGTACTCCCTCCTCACAAACTTCCCGTACCCCCTCAATCTCCTTCCCTGCCTGAAGGTCCCACCGCCGAACAGTCTGATCTTCAGATCCACTGACCATTTGCTCGCCATCCGAAAAGTAGGATATGCATAGGTTATGGTAGTCCTCTCTGGAGGTTTACGAGTGGATTTTTCATGGCCCTCCAATATCATGACTGGTTCCAGAATTGACTTCTTGGATGCAGCGCCGGGCTGTGTCGAGCTGGAAGCCATGTCGGTTTATTCGCTTGGGAGGTTGGCAGGTATTTGTCGATGAGTTCGGAGGACCACCAGTAAGTTCTCCGAGTCTTCGTGCACTGTTCTGAAGCTGATGGTTAGCTTGAAGTTACCCAACTTGTTCTCTGCTGAAGATAACTGTCAGTTCCGTGCTGGAAGTTCAAGTGGACGTTTGGCTCTAATCGCCCGATAAAAGATAACGAAGTCTGAACTCCGTCCTATGCATAGCACAGTATGTGCTTTTTTTACCCTTCCTTCTTAAACCTGCTCACTTTCCAGCTCACAGCCGTTCTCATGCTCTAGTACCCCAGCCTACCCAACCTGGATTAACTATGATAGACCACCAAACACCAATGCGAACGCCACATACATCTTCTCCTCTTCTCATGATCCAGTCCTGCGTGGGCGTTCGCTCTCACCAATAGCCAAATATTACCAGTATCCAACTCTCGGGCAGATCCATCTACATCTTCACTGTATGCTGGCAGTTGCTGGCGTGACTAATGACTGCACAAGAACTGATCTATCCACTACGCCTGGATGTCGAAGCCGAAGATGATATCATCCGCAACACCATAGGTATTCGACAAGTGTATCCGAAGACTATTGGTCGTCCGGCAAATGCTTGTGGTAGCGCGAGGAGACTATTGAAAGTGTGTTGTCGAGCGGCGTTTTGATGAAAAGTGTTTCCTGTACCACGGATGGTCGAGTTCTCCGTAAAAGAGGGGCTGCGAGCTTCCAAAGGAAATATCTTGTCAAGGGGCAAAGAAGATTCACGCTGGTACGTTGAACCAAGAGGAGAGTATGCGATATAAACTCGATTAAGGATACATGGATTTCTAGAGTCTTTCTACAGAGTCAAGTAAAGCTTCAAGTATATAACACGATTCTTTGAACCGTTGTGGACCTAATCGAAACGCGGCTCGTTCCTGAACGCCATTTCCTCCTCTTTGCGCTTTGATGCTCACTATCGAGTCTTGTACGATCATGGACCAGTCTAACATCACATCGTATGGCTACAGACCAGTAATATTTGTCCTGCAACAACTGCAACCGATGTAGATATCAGAGAAGCTTTCTGACATTTCAAATGGTACACCTTCTCCATCCTTCTCCATACTAACATGGATATCGTGGTTTGATATTACTACTAGTGTACTCTGTAGGCATAGGCATCGTGAGGAGACTCGGATGAGTGTGGAAACCGGTTATTCAAGCGCCGAGTAATGCCGAAAGCAATTGGGTTGCAGTGGCTCCCCGTTTCTGTTATAACTTATTCCGTACCCCGTCGGCCGGTATCGTGTGTGGCGTCCAATTCTTTCCTGTGCAGTGAACTTCCAACCACTTCCTTGCATTACACACTACTATTTCTCCTTCATTTTTTGTTTTTTTTGTTTGTGGACGGAACATTGTCAATATGAATCCAGCTCGGTCTAGTGCGCTCCACCAGCGGAATCGACTCCTATTGCGGACGGCAGCACAAAGTAGGCGGGCGTTGACCACATCAATACCAGTTGCCTCACCTTCCAGCTCTTCGCCGTCTTCCGGTCATGGACATGGACACGGGAAAGCATTCAATTCCTCGCTTGCCGTAGAAAGCATTGCACGCAGCGATCCTGCCGAATTCGCTACAATCAACCAGTTCGAGACTTCACAAATGTTCCCGGAACCGATCTCCCCGATAAAGCAACATGAAAAACTCGTGCAGTCTGGGGTACTTCGAAGTGACGATCATCAGATTCGTATCGTCGGCAAACTTCAGCGTTTCTGGGAGCAGGTACTCAAGTACAACCCCCCACCTATACCCGAAGCGAGGACAAGTGATTCATTGGTGATTTTCTTTCATTTTCTCTCAGGACTGCTGACCCATTTGCTGCTAGATATCTCGTTTGTTTTCTCGCGCACCTCCAGTACCAGGAACGGTGCCTGCATCGGCACCAAAAGGTCTTTACCTTTATGGCGACGTTGGCACAGGAAAGACAATGCTTATGGACCTCTTTTACCAAACACTGCCCCCTTCTATCACACGCAAGCGTCGTGTGCACTTCCACGCCTTCATGATCGATGCACATAAACGCATACACGCTGCTAAATTGCTCATGGGACACTCTGGTGGCGATCCCATCGGTCCTGTTGCGCGGGACCTAGCAAAAGAGGCGTATGTGCTATGCTTTGATGAGTTTCAGGTTACGGATATCGCGGACGCCATGATTCTGAGGCGTTTATTGGAGGGCTTGATGGATCATGGTGTAGTTTGTGTAATCACATCTAAGTGCGCATCCAGCTTTTCATGGCGGTATCTTATGATTGACTGTCACACAGTCGACACCCAGACGATCTTTACAAGAATGGAATTCAACGCTCAAGCTTTATACCCGCCATAGAGCTTCTCAAATCGCGCTTTGAAGTGACGGACTTAGACTCAGGAACTGGTATGTACCTAGTCATACTCTTCCGATGTATGTATGATCTTACAATTATCATGCACAGACTACAGACGGATACCACGCGCCCTCTCCCACGTATACTATCATCCACTAACACCAGAGAATAAAGCCGAGATAGACAAAATCTTTAATTCACTGACATGTCCAACTCCTACCGCTGCGCTTCAAGACCCTGTTATTGAGAATCGCCCAATAACGACGTGGGGCCGCACGCTTCGCGTTCCGCTTTCGACGTCAAAGGTTGCGCGATTCTCATTCGAGGAAATTTGTGGCCGTCCATTGAGTGCTGCCGATTACTTGGAAGTGACGAAGCAGTTTGGTACTCTGTTTATTACAGACGTGCCGAAAATGGGGATGGACAGGAAGGATATGGTATGTTTCTCCCATTTGGAGATCCTTGCAGCATTAACCATCATTCCACAGGCAAGGCGATTTATCACATTCATAGACGCATGCTACGAATCCAAGGCAAGCTCACGTGTTTCATGTTGATGATCGATAATCTAAGGACTGGCGCAGACAAGGATTTTTGTATCGTCAGAAGTACCCATATACCAGATCTTTTCGGATGATTCGGCGGGCTCAGGGAACGGCATCTCAGATCACATGCGGAGTGTGATGGATGATCTAGGTACGTTTCCTTTCCTCAATTCTTCTTACGACATCTCAATTTCTGTAAAGGGCCTATCTCCGGAAGTTGTGGGCTCAAGCTCGATGTTCTCAGGCGATGAGGAAATATTCGCGTTTGCGCGGGCTTGCTCGCGGCTGGTGCAGATGGGGAGCAGAGAATGGGCAGAGACAGCTTCTCAATAACAAGGACACGTAGATGCCTACGCGCTCCCTGGTACATAAGTATATATATATATTGCTGATTTTTCCTCTATATGCAAACTCATTCTAATATTCCATCTACAAATCCACTTGTTTACATCGTCGCTGTAAGCATTTCTGATTATGACGTGACCGCGATATGCTGACCCCCTTATGATTGTTCGCAGGCTTTCTTGCACCGATATATACAAGTTAAGTTCGTAAACCAATGCCCACACTATCTCCTTCAGCGGTTAGTGATTTACGTCCTGTCATTGTTGTGCAAGTCTTATCTCTCCTATGATTCACTATGACTCGGTGGGCGCCCTCATTTCGGATGCGGGGAATACGTCAATCAAGGTGCCAATGAGTCACTGATCAACGAATTTCCTAAAGCGTTCCTATCCTGTCAGGTCTGCTTACAATTTGCGGGTATGGCGCGACAATACTTACGTTCTGCACCGAACCTCCTGAAGCCCATGATCGGGATTTGTCATGCGCAAAAGTAATACCCTATCCTGGGAATATCTTCGATGCGCTACGTATAAAGGCGGGGAACGTTCGAGGTGCTCCATCGGATCCCGCTACAGCACCATGTCAAACACCCCTGTTACCGAAATCATCACGCTCACGAGCAATGATGCGATGAAGACAACTCCCAAGTTCCAGGAGGCCATCGAGCTCTTGCGCCAGTCCACTTTGGACGGCCTCCAACAGATGTACTGGGGCGATCGCGTCCAGCAGCCTGGAATCAGGCAGTGGTTCATCAGTGAGACATTTCGACTCTAGTGACCCCGTGTTGAGCTAATCACGTGCACAGATTGGGATCGCCGCCCTCAGAGGTCTGAGTCGACAGCCCCGATAGCAGCGCAGATCAAAGAAAAGCTCGAAGCAGTTGTTGACTCTCCTCCGACGCGCAGGCTCGTCGCTTTCAATCCCTACCCACCTACCAAATGCTTTGCTGCGCCATTCACAGAAGTCATTATCAGCACTGTGAAGCCTGAAACCGACCTGAATGAATTCAGCAAGATCGTCGACGCATCGTTGGAAGTGTGTCATGACTTCAAGGGATGCTACGGAACCGCGTGGGGGTACGTTGTTGGTTCAGAACACGTGAAGGAAGTAGTGTTGTTGCTTGGATGGGAGAGTCCAGAGGTGAGTACGCGTGATCTAGAAAGCGTGAAACGATGCCCATCATATCTCGATAACTCTCAGCATCACGTTGCGTTTATGAAGACGGAACCTGCCAGGATAACAACAGCTCCTTACGTTGAGGGAGTAGAGGACTCAACCGTCTTCTACGTTCAGTCACAATATGCATGAGAGTGATGATCGATGAATCAGAGAAGGGTGAAAGTGATTGTTCTAGTAATACATTGTGACCTTGTTGCAAACATCTACACAATCATGATCATGTTTATCATATACCCGACATTCCCTTGCCCTTGTTGTCTATCAAGCTTCCACGCGCAGCATTCATGGTTGTCGATCCTGAGTTGATGCCATTCCCGGCCTGATCTTTCCCCTTCTCCAGAATCTGCGTCATGACATCGAAATCTTTCGTCGTGCTGAAGATAGTATCCAGTTGTTGTTTTGAAGGCGCACCCAAGATGCCCTGTGCACCTTGATTGGAGTGAAACACTTTGAAGGCTAGGAAATGATGCGATTAGATCACGATCACACGATCGAATCAGTGCTCACAATCGACTACCTCAGCTAGAGGTATCGTTCTATGCATACGTAAGGATCATCAGTGGTGGATTATCGGGTGATACTCGTGCACTTTACCTGTCTGCAAAATGTGAATCAGGTTATGGATTATCTGATAGTCAAAAGGAGAGATGCTTACCTCCTGCTTTCCATTTCTTGTACTACGATAATATGAGATCGATTGTTTGAAGTCAAGTCAATATCAGCTTACCTCTGCTGGATTGACAAAGATGATAAACTCGTCTGTCGACTGAGTGTCGGGCTTGTACACAACCTTGGTCAGGGACTTTGGCATGATCGATAGGGATCGGGTGTTGGTAATTGGATGGTAATTTGAGTGGTTCAGCAAAATGTAACGATGATGATGTAGTTGTTGGTTGAATGATGGTGGTCAGAAGGAACTTGCAAGTGACCTTTATACCCCACACGCCACTTTGACGTCACTGAATTATGAATATGAATTTTATATTTGGCCATCTACGCTCACATGATGAACACTTCGATATCACATGACCATAGACGCATCACGTGCCAGCGCACAACAATGAGATCGTCAATTGTATGTAATAAAGGTGTTCAAAGATACCGATTGCGCGATTCTCAATAAAGGTCTCCAAGGCGAACACAATAACGGTAGCTCGCCGTGAGTCAGCTCAGCCTTGTCCAATCCAATGCCGGCGCGGATCGCCCGCCACTCTTGATACTTACATGAGTCAGAGGAACGAGGGAAGGTCTAGGAGAAGTACAACAATTAATAAGCGTAAATGAAGACAACCAAAGATACTAGCCTTCCATGGGCGCATTGAAAGGGAAATGCAGTCGCAGCAAGATTTCTCACAAGGCGTTCGCACTGTTCCAGTGATAGTGGATCGTTGAACATGACCGCGCCTGGATCAAGTAATGAGTAAGAGTATATGAAAAGCACTTTGATGTTAGTACCGCGACACGCTTTTGAGTTGATTAAATCCAGAAGCTCCTGTGGACACCAACGAAGAGCCTTGAGCCACCGCGACTCGTCGTCCTTGATGTTATCGACGTCTTTTTGCTGCGATAGGTTAGGAGAAGAGGCTCCCTCGCTTTCGAGAGTTCCCAGGTAGCCTTTAACAAGGTCTCGCAACTCATCGTTCACGAGTAACTGTACCACAGGACAATAAGCCTGTAACACCATGAAAGAGTCTACGCGTACCTTGTCGCTCACAATCGCAGGTATTGCTCTGACAAAGACTTGTACATACCCGCCGCTGGCTTCATCTTTTACACATTCCGATTCGAATGAGGTCAACTTAGCCAATCCCTCAAAGCGTATACCCCAGCGATCGAATGCTGACTGTACTTCGATAGTTGCCAAGCGCGAAGCTTCGTGATGCGTGAGTAAAATAGGCACAGCAGGCGACAGTTCCGAAACTTCGACGCCCCCGGTTCCCTCGCAATGTCGTAGGAAGCCAAAGCAAATTTCGATTAGAAAGCGTTCGACACGGACTCGTTCATCCGCAGCGTGCTGATCAATCAGGATCAGAGTTGAGCCACCCGCTGCAAGGTTTTTTGGGGGATTCCCATGTTCCTGATGGGTGGGATGATCTAAATCAACTAAACAGGCGATGAACTTGCGGTCGACCTGGTTGATGACCCGTGCCTTCAATAGGTCACCTTTGTGAAATCTTGTTCGTGCGTGTTCGGAACCTGACTGGAGATATGGTGTCCCAAAAGCGGAGGCGCAAGACCAGGGATGATTAGAGTGAACAATAGGACAACCCTGATCATCGGAAGCTTGATTAGCAAAGAGCGGCAAGGATGGAATCCTTGGTTCCGTAGTAGCATACGCATTGTTCGCCTTAGATACCGAAAGGTCAAATTGTGTCTATCTCAAACATTCGGAACCTACGATGAGAGCTTCTTGCAGCCAATCGGGCATTTTATGCTGAGCAGGGCCGGAACCTGGACCCTCTCGGAGAAGACGTGGAATTCGGGAAACACGGTTCGCGCTAGCCGAGTTCGTTCCGTCGATCTCGTGGCGCGAACTTTGCAAATAAGAATTTCCAGTAGGAGGATTCACGATGAACATTTCACCCGTTTCCCGAACCGTCGTTCGCGGAATTTCCTCGGACATATTTCCCTTTTGATCACGATCAGCTGAGTACCAAAGCTTAACGGTAGGCTCCCAACCGCTCACTGGGTGAATAAACACCGCCCGTGCTTCCTTCGGCTCTGTCTTCCTATTAGCTGGAGGCTGAGGGACCTTATTTTGGTCTGCGCTATTTGGAACCATGGAGACTTTGCGCTTCTTGGGCGGGGAACCACAGACTTCTTCAGCGCCACGTTTGCCAGATGTGAAACCATGTCGAATCAAGAACGAATCAATCACAGAAGATAGAAATGTTGTCACCACATTCTTATGCTGTGTTCACCGGATTCAGATCATCCGGGAGCCGATCGTGGACAGAATCTACACACCTCGATCTGAACTGCGGATTTTGCTGGTTCCAGGCAGTTATCAATGAGTCGCGTTGGTATGACCAAATTTAGAACATAGATAGCTTTCTTCTCGCCTTTGCGGGGCGAACGGCGCACCGCTAGAACTGAATTCAGAACTTTCTCAATTGGAACAAACCAACCTACATGATCTCAGACTCGTTTCCCCTCCTTCATCATACGCCTACAGTACATAAAAAATGCGAAAGATACCGCATATAAGCGACTTACATGCTTCATAAACGTACTATTCGAGAATTTGTTATCAATCAGGCGGTGAAGATCGCAGAACGATATCGGATGTTTGTTTATGTCTGAGAAACGACTGAGCAAACACAGCAAATACGCTTACACACACTCACACAGATACTGATGGACCTATTTTGTCGTGAGTGCACAGGTGTCATACAAACTTGTGTCATCACCTTCGAACGTGCTCCAACAAGGGACATGAATCCCTCCACTTTCAAATCTCCGGATGTGGCATCAATCTCTTCCACATGCTGTACCAGTCGATCATGAGTGAATGACGCTGGGTTCGAATCGCTTTCTCACCTCGGTCAGTGCGCGACCATACATGTGTCGAAATGCAGCCAGGATTGAACGGGTCTTCGTCGTGTCAACCGTGAGACGACATGTCATCTGTTTCAAAAGTCTTACGTACCTTTGGAACCCGGAGAACGTGCCCCTTGCTCGACGCATTGTCTCTTGATTTGCTGTCATCTTGAAGAGTGAATGCCACGTTTGGAAACATCAGAGCATATGCCTCGACCTCTTGCTTGATCCCATCTATAGTCTTGGCTGTAGAGGGATGAGATTGACGA